AGACAAAATAGATTTAGTTTCGGAAAGAGTGGCCGATATTAAGACTTCGTCGCTATCGTCGACACCAATGCACTCAATGTCCGGCGTTTCGAGCATTGGTTTCATGGATTCGGCGATACTCTTGAGTTCAATCCAACGGATTGTCGACGAAAACAATAGCCTTAAGAAGGATTTGGAGAACAAAACGTCAAATTTGCAGAAATTGAACGAAAAAATCTGCGATCTGTTGGCGAAGCAAACGCTTCCCAACACTAGTAGTAGTGATCAGCAAAACACTCAACAATTAGAGCAGCTCTTGATGTCAGAGACGAGACTCAAACGCGATATAACTATTTTGAACGAAGACTGCGATCGATATCGGGCTAAAAACGAAGACCTGTCCGAAGAGAACCATCGATTGAGACAAACGGTGAAAGAGTTGCGGACAGAAGTGGAGAGTCGACCGATCGATAGCCGAGAGTCAAAACTGGAGTTTAAGAGTCAATTGAAACGTGCGATGAATGATGTGTTTCGCAAATTTAACGCTCAAATGGATGAGAATCGTAGCTATAGTTCAGATGAAATCGTTGACATTGTGTCCAATTCTATCAAAAGCGCGACACTCGCTGTCATTGATTCGCAGACTAATAGCCACACGAATAGTCCGTTTCGACGACCGGTTGACGAAATCGACAAAAACCAATCCTTTCAACAAAATACCACTCCTTTCGATGAAACCAATATAAAGCCTATGAGAGGGAGTAGTGTTGAGAGGGATGTGAGCAAACCTCCGGTTCCGATGCGGAAGACTATAGACGGCCAACAGAACAACAAAACCAGTAACTTATCTGATGTGGAAATTTCAACAGTTAGTGAAGTATTTATTAATTTTGATAATCAATTGTTTTGTAAATTGAATTATTTTCAATTAATAGCAGAAATCTAGTGAAACCACTGAAGACTGAACTGTAAAACATATGGCTATTGAAGGGAATGGTAGCTCTCATCCCATAACCAACTTTTAATACTTCTAATCATTTTAACTCAAATCCAGACTTTTTAAACGAAAACTAATTTATTTTTATAAATTTATTTATTAAATATTTTGCCGTATAATTAATTAAGACATTGATTTCAATTGTGAACGATATTTATATGAAGTAAATTGTAAATTTATATTTATAGCACATGAATGTGTCAATTGCTGTATAAAAATTAATTATTAAGAACTTAAACAATGACTTGAAATACACATAAAATTAAGACTCAACTGATGTAACAATTGTTTAAATTGATATGAATTAAAGTGGACTATAAGACAGAGATGTGTCCATCACTTGAGATCAGGCGTCGAAGAACCCAAATAGCACTTCAAGTCATTGACATTGGACTCAACGAGTTTGCAACGAATGGTCGGTCGACCCAAACATTTATGGGCTTCATATCGATGACAACCTCCGAAGGAGTAGTAATAATTTCCACCATTTGTGCCCACAATCCACAGCACGTCTATCGGCGGAACAGTTTCTGGTGATGTCTGCGAAGACAAAAAACTATACATCAAATCATAAACATAATCGTTAGGATTGATTCAATTGTATGATTACTTCAATGGTATTCATAAGACTCTTCACTTTGAGCTCATCCAGAATGGGAGGAATGGGTCTAATGATGACATTCATGGGTATGTCGTGGATCTCCTCCTTCTGTGACGAATGGATACTTTGGTTATCACAACTCATTGACACAACTCTTCGGCAATTTCTGTTTGGGAACTAATAAAACGAAATGTGTTTTAATTGACACCAAAATGAAACAAAACTTTAAATATCTTTCCCTTTAATAAACATGTGATGAAATCTATTGGCAATACATTCAAGAATTTATTACAACTTTATTAAACTTTGAGAATTTGTACGTTATTTATAAACACATAAATAGCGTGTAATATGTAGTGATCACGTGTTCAGCACTTATTCATTCAAAGCTAATGCAGTGATTCATAAATAACGTAAACACTATAAAAATTAACTCAAATTATAATAAAATATTTAATTGAATATAACGGCAACACTATTGCCATCTATTGGTGAATGACTTTACAGACAATTGTTTTGCATTCAAAAGTGGAGACAATTATTTGACACAAAACTTATAAACAAATGATTTGTTGCTTAAGAGCCGCCGCTTTACGGGCGCCGAGAATTGGCCACTCATTGGATGAGTGCCTAAAAGTGGTGCAGAGGTGTGACCGCAAAACTTTGGCCACTTTCGCCGCCTTCGGTGGCCATCGTTACGAGATAATAGAGCCGTACGAGTGTCGGGCCGTTCAACGGGTGTTACTGCCGGACATCGAGCGACCAGATTATGCCGATTCTGGCCAACCGTCCAAACAATACAATCGGATCAAAACGGGTCCCGAATTGGCGGCGATCTTCAAGTCGTGCAAAATCGCCAAAACTATACTCACAGACGTCGGACACCGATTGACAGTAAGCCCTAAAACACGTTATCTTTTAAAGCGGTGACCAGTTTTTGCATCACTCGTTGTGTCCTCTCTATAGGCGGGAATCACCGGCGAAGACATCGATGACATGGTGTTTGAGTTGTGTAACACTTGTTTTCTCCCATTACTTGCCTTTTATCAACTAATTTTGTGCTAATGTCCATCAGGTTGTGTCAGACATATAAGTGCTATCCATCGCCACTCAACTACAAGGGGTTCCCGAAATGTGTGACCACTTCTGTGAACAACGTTGCCGTTCACGGCATTCCCGATAAGAGGCCTCTGGTCGACGGCGATATCATCACTGTTGATGTCAGCGTTTACTTCAATGGTTTATTCACTTTAACGACAAGCCATTGATTGCATTGAAAACAAGTTGTCTTCGAACAGGTTTTCACGGCGATTGTGCCCACACTTTCATCGTTGGCAACGAGTCGGCCGCTGATCCACAATCACAGCATCTCTTAAATGTGGCGCAACTTTGTCTCTTCGAAGCCATTAAAATCTGTAGAGACGGCCAAAAGCTGTCGACAATCGGCGAAACGATTGAGAAAACCGCCAAAGGGTACGGCTTTCACGTGATTCGGGAGTTTTGCGGCCACGGAATCGGTAGTAATCTTCACGAACCGCCGCAAGTGTTGCACTACAAAAGCGATTCCGTTGAGACACTCAAAGAGAATATGTGTATAACTATCGAACCGGTGATCACTGAAGGCCACCCGGAAGTGGCCATCGATGGAACCGATGGATGGACTGTATATACGGACGACAACTGCCGAACCGCTCAATTCGAGCACACATTATGTATCACTAAAGAAGGGGCTATTATTTTGACACAAATTGATTGATTCAATGCTTATCACAACTATTATAATGTTTTATTGATAAAAGTAAATGAATTAAATTATGATTTAAAAATGTTAATAATATAATTTAAGTTATTTTAACTGTTTAAAGTTTAATAGCGTTTATATTTGTTTGCCTACAACTGTCATATACCGCTATATATACCGCGATAATCATATATCGCTAATTCGTATTATAGACCCTAAACGGATGCATTTGCACAGAAAAAAGTGATTTTATTTTACAAAATTTAAATAAAATTGAATCCATTTTATGTAATATTATTGAATTATCTCTCACTCGATTGCTAAGAGTTGATACAAATAGTCAAATTCAAGGCAAATTGATTAGAATTTATTTCTAATTCATCTCTGTCTATACAGGCCATGTCTTTATTTTGGACGATTGTCTAAATAATTCTTGAGTGCAAAACTCGTTATTAATTTCTTTATAGCCTTCGCTTTGCATTTAGACTTCTGGAAAAATGTGTAGAATTCAAAGTGGATATTAATTATGGTATGTGTGATTGGAAATTGAAAAGTGGTAAGTATTGATCATTGAATGAATATGGGTTATTAACATTGTATTCATTTAATAATAAATATTTACCATACTTTCAATTTCTAATTACACATACAGTATGTTTCATCGCTCATGAGTGCACTCATAAAGAGCTTTACTTTTTATTTATTAGATTGAATCAAAACTAAATCAATATTTATTTCAACCATTGAATCAAGTATTAAAAAATTTTATTATAAATATGACTAAATCTAATGCAAAAGTAACTACAGTAGAGGAGAGAGAGAGAGAGAGAGAGAGAGAGCTCTGTTATGGAAGAGATCGATAAATTGAAGGCTTCGCTGAACCTATGGTCGCGTTGGTTGAGATTGAAGGCAAAGATTGAATGCCATTGATGTGTATTTATGTGATAGTGTTATAGTGTTTAGTAAATTATATGAAAATATGAGCCAATGAATGAAGAAACGGACGAATAATTAATTCTTGAACTAACGGTTTGTTTAATTATTATCAATGATAGAGCCGTCGAAGAATTCCTCAGAATTGGACTCATTGTTAGCAAAATTAGAAAATGATAACAAATTGTTGGCCGAACTCGACGTCAAGCTTAAGAAAGTGAACAATTATAATGCTATACAAGGTTTGGACGCCAGTGTCGGCGGTAGGGATAACAGTGGCGGTGGCGGCGGTTCGGGTGTCGATAGGGACACGTCGGGCGCCTATCAGTTGTCGACTTCTATGCCTTCATTAACTTCAAGCTATTTATATCACACCTCTTCCCTGACGGACAGCGGCGCCGGCGACGCGGCCCTCAGTGCAGCCCTGAATGCGGCCAAACGGGCCGTCGGTGTGTCCGGCAAGTCGTCGTCGACGAGTCCATCGAATATATATTTAGCACAAACGCAAACCAATGGGAAATCAACGCAACAAATGGTGAACCATGTGATGGACGACATGGACTACTCCGACATGGATTTGAATTTACGTGAATTGGATTTAGAGAGACTCAGAGATAGCTTATTAGACGACAACGACTTACTTATAGTGAGCACTAGGAGTAGTCATAATAAAAGTAAATATACAAAATCGCATTCAAAATCTGATGGCATGCCTTATCATCGCAATTATGATCCACTTATCAAACATACCGGAGCTTTGAATGACAAAAGTAAGCATTCATTCATTTCCATCAATCCATTTCCATTCCCTATACTATTAAAACAAAAACTGTTGTCTTTATTATGAATGCAAACATTTGTTACATAAATATTAATGTTAATGGAAAGGTATTAACGGATAGAAAATGTAATTGAATTCTAAGAGATGTTAAGAATATTCGTTATAGACTTAAGGCTTATATATTTTGATCAATGATTTTGTTTGTAATCCCCAATGAATTTTGGGATTATTTAACTTTCGTGTTGTGATTAATAATTTACCACATATTTCGCTACAATTAACTAATTATATAATTAGTTCTCAAATTTTTAATCGTTAATTTGATATATTTTACGATAAATTATTAAAATTAATTAATTTATTGTTATAATTGTTATTCACAGCGCCTTCACTGACAGCCAAAGATTTAGACAAATTGATGTTAAAGTTAGATCAGGACAACAGAATTCTGGCCGAATTGGACCGTAAGCTGAAACACGTGACGACCAGCGGACTCATTGAGTCGACTGCACACATATACCCATTGTCTTCATCATTGCCTTCGCTGAACACCGCATCCCATCATATGATGCGCTCATCGCTTCTCACCGACAGAAACATGTCATCGACTCTCATGGGATCGATGGGCGGACTCGTCGGCAGTGCCCTGCAGTCCAAGACCACGCCATTAGCCGCTCTGAACGTCATGACCACCGGTCAAGGGCTCAACGGCCAGCACTCGTCGTCGGTATCGCAGCAACAGTTATACCATTTCCTGCATTCATCGCAAACGCCATTTCAACAACAATTAGACGAATTAAAGTTAGCCGAAGACATAGTGGACAGCATTGAGATCCCGAATCGGGGCCGCTGTAAGGTCTACATCGCCCGATACAGTTACGACCCCTTCAAACAGTCGCCCAACGATAACCCGGAGGCAGAACTCACTCTATTGGCCGGCGATTTTGTGCTCATCTTCGGCAACGTAGACGAAGACGGCTTCTTCTACGGGGAACTGTTGGACGGCCGCAGAGGACTCATTCCGTCCAACTTTGTCGAGAAGCTCACCGGCGAAGACCTCTTCGAATTCCAGGCCAGTGTCCTCTACGGCAACAATCGGGACTCAGAGTCCGATACCGCCAGTTGTTATCCGCCAGAGTTTTACGACGCGATTCTCAACGAACAGATGTGTCACTCAAACTTCCAGCACCTCTTGGCTCCGGGTATGGCATCACTTTATCACTCAATCTAATTGTTTATGCATTTTATTTTAATCATTTCGTTAACACTATTTGTGTTTTAATTATAATTATTGTGTATTTTGCGTTCAAATAGTAATTTAAAAATCAGTATTAATTTTCGTGCAAAAACTTTTAACCACTTTCTGTAATTGGCTTTTATCTGGGATATTATTAACGAGATATTAAATATTGATAATTTTGTTTTATGCCCGACCACTACATTGTGGTTACCGCTCATTAATTTCTCAATGCTATAATAATAACGGCAATTGTATCTGTATTTATACAATGCTATCATTATTATGATTATAAGATTTAAATAAATAACTGAAAGCAATAATCAAAATTAATGTACTTTTTATGTGAATTTATGTTTTGTTATTAATTTTCTTTCTCTATGTTTACAAATGACAAACATTTTTATGTTTTTTGATGTTTAAAAGTATTATTATTTGTATAGTTCTTGTAATGGATTGTTATAGTATTCACGACACAAATACTTATGATAAATGACATGAAAAATGATCCCATATTTTAGAGACAAATAGACATCAATGATATTCGGGGAAAGACTAGACATTTATAGATTTAGACATTATTATCATTAATGATATTCAAATTCAATTTGTTTACTAATAAAAATAGTAATAAATTGATTCACATTAACTTAATACTCTCTGATTTGACTCTTTTAAAGGCTAAATCATATTTTATTCTCACTTACTTAT